GAAATTTGACTTTGACATTCCAAGGAAACAACACATTACAGTTAATTTTTCTGAGTTTAATATTTGTATGCGAGATGTGCAACAACAACCGAAGACTAGATGTAAGAGAATTTTTATTTTATTTGGATATAGAAGATTTCGATACGCTTAAGTATTTTTATTTGATTTTAGAATTATGTAATATAGTATTGTCTAGGGATGGAATTATTATCCGGGATCCGAGAACCAATCCGTTATCTGTTCGGAATCGCTCCGAAAATTAGGATATCTGGAGAGCCCGGATCCGGATAAGGATAGTAAAATTTAAGATCCGTGAAAAGAGAATCCGGATCCGGATAACAAAATTTTAAGGTCCGGATATCCGGATCCGGATACGGACGCATTAAATATATTAAAAACATATATATTATATATCTATTAAGCTAATTTTATATAAATAAATATATATAAAAATTGATTTTAGTTTTTTTTACAATAAATTATAATTTATAATGAAAAATATAATTTAAATATTAATTAATAATTTTTAAAAATATATTTTTATTTATTTATTAATTATTTTTAATATTAATTTCGGATCCGGATCCGGATATCCGCGGATATCCGTTTTTTTTTTCCCGATATCCAGAGTCCGGATATCCGGAGGTCCCGATTCCAGATCCGGATAGTTTTTTTCACGGATCCGACGATTCTGGATCCGGATCCGGATCTCTTGAAATTCCAGGATATTCGAATCCGTTCCACCCCTAGTATTGTCTCATATTTATATAACTTATAATATAAATAAAAGTTGATGTGTGCAAACCAAAATTTCATATGTCGTTTATATATGATCCATCATTATTATATATATAGATTTACATACATTCAGTTTTCAAGATCACACGTTTAAAAATCAAACATACGTGCAGCTGATGAAACAGCATTAGATACGAACATTATAAACCAAAAAGAAATGTGAAATATTATAGTGATATAAATCACTATAAATGATAAATTGACCTTTTATATAAAGATAGCTCAAAATTTCCGTTGACTTTTTATGTATTTAGATACATTGCCCACATTGGGGTGACTGGTTTGAATTTTTAGTTTTGGTTGTTGTTGTAAAATAAACTGTAATTAAGAAAAACAAAATTATTGTGACTTTTAAAACTAGAAACAAAATAATCTATTTTGAACTAAAAAACACAAATAAGCGTAGAACAAAAAAAAAAGAAAAGAATATAGACTGTTTGAGAAATTTAAAAACTATGAGAGATTTTAGGAGAATTAAAGTGTGATTGACAAAATTTTAATTTTAATTTTTTAAAAATAAAATCAGAGTATTAAATAAAAGTATTTCCCAGTTAATTACCCCTATGGTGTATATATTTTCTGAAAGATACAAGAAATTGCGAAGGAATTTTCTTTGCAAAATAAATAAATTGTACGGATACTGGGAAATATATAACGAACACCAACCAAGAAGAAAG